GGGGATGCACAGTGAGAGGGTGCGGGGTGGGGGGGAGCGCAGTTGAGGAATAGATACACGGGGAAGGAGGTGGCGGAGCAGGGGCAGGGGTGGACAGCTGACAGGGACAAGGATGCTGTGAAGACGGAACTGGTCGGGGGCACGAAGGGGCCAGATTTCTTCTGCCCCTCCTGTATGAAAAATAAAAAACATTTGACCGGCTCTGCACGTTTTTGGCCATGGGGAGCCCGAGGAACTAGAAAAGAAAATCACCCCCACGGTCCTTGCCCCTGCCCCTTGCGGGGGTCCACGACCCCTGCACCATGGTGCGGAGGTCTGAGACCGAGCCTTGGTTTCTGTACAGGGATCCTCACATGAGCATTCACCCACAGGTCCATCGGTTTATGGATCAAGTCATCCATCCATCAATCCATACTTCAATCCATCCACCCATCCACCCATCCACCCACCCATCCACCCATCCACCCATCCACCCACCCATCTATTCATCAACCCACCCACCCACCCACCCACCCATCCACCCATCCACCCATCCACCCACCCACCCATCCACCCATCCATCCATACAGCAATCCAGCAATCCATCCAGCCACCCACTCAGCCTCCCAACCATATACCCACCAATCTATTCAGATCCACCCACCCTCCCACCCACCCTCCCATCCATCCACCCACCCATCCACGCACCTATGTACCCACCCACCATCGATCCACCCATCAATCCATCAATTCATCCCTTCACGGACCAATCCATCCACCCACCCATCCATCCACTTACCCAGTCATTCATCCACTTACACAGTCATCCACCCTTTCACCCATCCATTCGGCCGCCACATCCGTCCACAAATTGTCTGATTCAAATGCAACTTGATCCATCCTGTTACGGACTCAGCCAGGGCTCAATCCCTGGTCCGCGGGTTACCACCCGCCAGGCTGCTATTTTATTCTGAGTTCCTGATTTCCGGTTCTGGACTGCTGGCGCCTTCTGCAGTGGCCGCCCGTTCTCAAATTCCTCCACTGGCATTTTCGGATTTCGATACTTGGCGCCATCTGGCATTCTGGCGCCCAGACGCAGACCTGCGATCCTCAGTTCAGTCCTGAGGCAGGCCGCACCTCGGCCCTCCGGACTGAGCCTGAGTCCGGTACTTAAGTCCGGACTCAAGCCCCGTTGGGGCATTCAGTCT